TTTTTTTTTTTTTTTTTTTTTTTTTTTTTTTTTTTAATGCAGCATTAAAGACACCAGCTCAGTAATTGCGACCAGAGTGGAAGCTGAACGACCTCAGGAGAGTGAGTGCGTCCCAGAAGGGCGGTGTGTGCACTGTTACTGGGGCAGGAGCAGAGGTGGTCCTGTGTGTAGTGGCAGGAAGTTGGTGGGCATGTGGTAAATAGAAAATCCACTCATGGGTACAGTTAAGGAGACTTCCGGGAAGGCTACTGAAGGTATCGTTTGCTTCTTCAGCTCCTTGAGATGATGTAGGAGAGGAAGGAGCTGAGCTGAAGAAAAAAAAAAGTGTTTCTGTTTTCAAGTAGAAGTTAGAGGAAACAGAAAGACCCAAGATTTGATGAATTTAAGAATAAACCTCATTTTCATCTCCAGTCTCCCTTGGTAAATTATTCCTCCAATTTAAGAAATGGTCTTCATAATCAGACTGAATTTGCAGTCTATAAAATGTGGCATTGGAGAGCAAATCAGATTGAGGTGCAGTTGAAAGGTACTTTGTCAAGACTTCATAGAAATTTAAAATGAGGCCTTATAAACCCTCTCATCTAAATAAAAGTGCTTTATGAAAATCTGAAAAGGGATATCTTATAGATGCTTTTAGGTTAACAAAAGAGCTCGTTAGAGTCTTTTGCCTGTGTGTCAAAAAAGAGCCTCTTTAGAAGAAATTTTGTACATGTGACTTTTGTCTCATAAAGTGAAATAATTTTATACATAAGAATCTCACAACATTTCTAAAGAGCTTATAACAATTTATATTAAGAGATAGGGCTATTCCAAAATTAAAGAAACTTCTGAAACCTCGACTTCCTATAGTCAGCAAATAGTTAAAAATGTGAACCATATGTACCAGGAAGGATGAGTCAGAAAAGAGTTTTCCAGAGGATGGACCAAAAATCCACAAATATGTATTCACTAGAGGTAGAGTCTGTACTCCAGGAATAGGACATAGGTAGTGCTGACATCTGACATTTCTGTTTTTGTCATTCAGTGGAGCATTAAAAAGCAACCCCCCACACACACTTAGTGGTTTAGACAGCAATTATTTTATTCTCTCTCACACATTTCTGTGGGCAGACAGGCTCAGCCAGCAGGTTTCTCTGCCCTATGTGATATTACTTGGTGCTCAGTCTTAGAGGCTGGCTGTAGGTTTCAGATTCTCTTCCAGAGCTGTTGAGTGGAGTATCTTGTTACCTTGTTACCTCCACACATGGCTTACACCTCTCTCGAGACCTGAAGGTCCTGAAAGTAGAGTCTCCATTGCTCTTAATGTTTGGAGTCAAAAGTTCAAGAACATCACTTCTATTCTCTTCTAATACCAACTAGCAATGAGGGTAAGCCAGATTCAAACTTTATCTCTTGGAAGGAGAATAGACACATAACAGATACACACTAAATAAGTAGGAGAATAGACACATAAATGGCTATTTAGTTATGAAATAAAAATATGTAGAAGTACTTAGCTAGTACAATGTAAATATAGAGAGTTTTATTTATTAGCAATGACAACAATTTCCTTAGGTATTTTAAAATTTGTAGTATAAAAGAACATATTTGTGATCATTTATATTCTTCTATTTTTTTGGAGAGTAGTAGCAATACTAAACATTTACTCTGGTCTATAGTTTGTTTTACCTGAAATTTTAAAATCCTGAGTTTTATGAAGGACTAACGAAAGGTTCTCAGATGATGTGTGCAAACGGACTAGACTGCTAATCTATACTTAAGTCCTTTTCAGTGAATAAAGTAAATAGATAAAAACAGTAATGATTATTACACACTTATGTGCCATACACTCTTGTAATAGGCCCTTAAATTTTATAATAACTTCATTATACAAGTCCTATCATTATCCCAGTTTTGCACATGAGGAGAACAGAGGACCAAGGAGACTACAGAACTTGCTCAAAGTCACAAAGTGACTTCTAGAACCAAAAACTGAGGCCAACTTCCTGTTTGTCCTATATGTCATGTTTATTGTTTAATGCAGAATAGAAAAATGAAAAAATTGAGGGTTACATGACAGATGGCCTCAGTCTTTCTGTAACACACCATTTGACAACAGAATAATACCTACTGATACTCACGTTGTACCTAACGGAGCAAGTCATTTGATCTACACCATGACGTGTGGAGCTGGTATTAGTATTACCTTTACTGACAGATGAGGCAGCTGAAGGATACAAAGGTTAAAGGACCTGCTAGGCTCACGTGCCTGAGAAGAGAAGGAGCTGGAATCTGAGGCCAAGCACTTTGGCCACAGGGCCTAGGATCTTACCGTCATGCTATCCTGTTGCCTCAATACAGCCCACCTCCATATGTAGTTTTCTAGAAGAGCAGCACAGCAGTCTAAAGGAGAAATAAAAGTGAAGATGGTAGGCTTTGGTGGTACTTACCTTTTTCTCCTCTTCCCTTTGATTCAGTACCCCCTGTGTAGACACTCACAACCTTCTGAATGCTTAAAGCTACCAAAGAAAATTATGTTGTAAATATCATGGTGAATACTTAATAAATAGCTATTGAATTAATGTAGCTAAAATTGAAAGCAGGCATTATTATTTGCATTTTAGAGCTATAAGAACTGAGCTCATGGGAATTAAATAGCTTCTCTTATGCAGTAGTGTTTGCAGAACCAGACTTTGGTTCATCTCTGATTTACTTCAATCCCTGAGTCTTCCTACCTTATTATAAGGTTTCCATATACAGTCATCCCCCAGCACCTGTTCCAGGACCACTGGCATATATCAAAAATCCACATGGGCTCAGATCCCTAATATACGGCAGCACAGTGTTGCCATATAGTTTATGGGCATCATCCTATATACTTTGAAGTATAAATTTAAAGTTCAGATCTTCTCTAAATTATTTATAGTACCTAATGCAATATAAGTACCATCTGAGAGTCGAATGCTGTATTATTTAGAGAATAATGCTGGATTTTTTTTCTTTTAATATTTCAACTCTCAATTGGTTGAACTTGCCAATATGGTACCTGTGGATATAGAGGGCTGATTGTAATTGCTTCCCAAGCCCTCTCCCTCACCAGTTGTAATGTAATGCTTTCTCTCTTCTTCTTTTTTCCTTTCTCTCCTCCTTTAATCTCTGCCTAAAAAAGTTGACCCTCATTTTGCTGTGTGAGCTCTGCTTGGCATCAGGAAGAAAGTAAACTGGAGGACAATATACTACTAACAGAGGAATGACTAAGATCCACAGAGACAACAGGGGTAACTATAATTTAGTGCTTACTATGTACCATTAATGCTCACAGTGGCCCCATCAGAAGATATTCTTAACCCTATTTCATAGACGAAGAAATAAGCTTTTGTTCTGTCAAACTGTGCTCTCCTCTATCTATACCATCTCAGAAATTGTATTTATGGTTTAAGAAATTATTGCACTTACCCCAAATCCCTCAAATAGACTGCATGGCAAAACTGCTAAAGAAAGACATTCTAACAGCATGGGAAATTTTTTAAAGTTGCTTCTGACAGGGGTCCTTAATCCTGGATGAAATCAGAATTTTCTGTGTCTTCCCTTTCCCATTTCTCCTTTCTTTCCCTTCCCAGAAGAGAAATTTGAGAGATACTAACAGAGCTGAATATCTTATAGATAAAAGTGTGTGATTGCTGTCTGTCTTGGTCTCTCTCTCTCTCTCTCTCTCTCTCTCTCCCTTCTTTCCCTTTCTGCTTCTTCCTCTATTCATCCCACTTTCTCTAGTTGATCACAGAATTTGATCACCTGTTTCTCAATTTAAAAAACAGAAGTTTAAAAAAATATTGCATTTTTTAAAATTTTGTCTCCCAAAAATTGCTTGAGGATGCATAGAGCATAGTATGACAGAAAAGTAATAAAATGTAAAGGAAAGTTAAGATCTTGGAAAAGAGCAGGAACCCATTCAGTAAGAGTAAGAACTTAACAGAATTTTGTGGACAAGCAAGACATTTACTATGGGCTTCCCAGTAGTCAAGCAAGAAAAGTGTACATAGTTGTAAACAGCAGAAAGGAGGAAGTGGATAGTGATACTGAGAGATGGTAGAGATACTTCTGCTCTGCACCTTGTTGGGGAATTTGCGTGACAGCACCCTTGCCAACAGCTTCACAACAAACACTGAAGTAGTTTCAACATTACTACTGCTCATAGTTGCAGATGTCATGTTAAAGCAGAGCTCAGTGAAGCTGATCTTCTAGATGATGTTGGGTTTGAGCCTATTTTTATAGCAGAACCATTTCTTACCCTTTCCTCTTCCCCCTCCTTCCCTCCCTGCTCCTCTATCTTTATTTTTTTCCTTGCTTTTCTTTCAGAGTTTTAACATCACAGCTTTGATGAACAAGTTCTGTTTTTGTTTCTATCCCATGATTTTTTTTTTCTCTATTTACTAATTGGAGACTTTGAAGTTATTTTCAGTTTCATGGATCTGTTGAAGGTTTGAGATCTACCCTGCCTTGTTTTGGGTCCCGTTGTCCCTGAAGTGGCACTTACTGATGGAGAAAGGGCTGGTGGCTTGGTTAGTGACCCAGGAGGAGTCCAGTACCAGGCTGTGTTGGACTGTTACTGGCTGTCCATGTGCTGGTGTCCCTGGCTGTGAGCGAGGAGCAGTTGCTTCTTGTGAATCTGCAGCTGCGAAAGTAAAGATGGATTCAGTGTAGTGTGGAATCTCATGGTGGCAAGGATGGGTATAGCTAGAAAACAGGAAGTGCTCTGTCTCTTCCATCGAAATAAACTACCTGAGACTGGCTTTTCCCAGAGTCAGTCCCACCTTTGGCAAGGTCCTTCCATTCGAATCTTCTGTGGGTATGTCCTGCCCTTATCTTCTATGGGGAGGGGTCTGAACTTCATGGAGAAGGCTATTTTTACCATGCAGATTCTGTTTGTGTATGCTTATATTTCAGTTGTCTTTTTCATTTCCCTTTTGGCAGTAAACATTAATGCTTGAGAACACGCTGCCACTCATTTCTGGGAAGCACCAAATATTTGACTTTTATCTGCATTCAGACAAAATCAGTTTCGAGTTGTTTCCATAGATATCAAACATAAATATTTAGATAAAACAAGCTTATAAATTATGTAATTTACTCCATCATTTGTAGAATTGTAATATTTTCTGTCTTAGATTGAAAACTTAACTGAGCATTTACTTTGCAAAAGACATTATAATAAGGGCAGAGCAGGGGAATATATCATATATAAGAGACTTGGTGATAGCTCATTATAACCTTCCATTCTAGTTAAGAAGTAAAAAAGCAATTAAATTTTGTCAAATTATTTCAGAGAAGAATGTTTTTAAGAGACAATTTTAAAAATCATAGTAGAAGTTGAATATAGGTATGAATAGAAAGATTCAAATAAATATATGTATAGTACATATATATATAAGATATATAATAAAAAGCAAAATAGATCAATAGGGAATAGGGGGGAGTTCACATACTATAGTTTTTCAGATTACATATTTTGTTTCAAAATTACCTTAATATGCATGTTAATTTGTTTCATTTATACTCCTACTTTATCTTAGTTTGTTGAAAAGCAAGTTTCGCATTATCATGTATTTGTTTCTTTTCTGTAAGAATCTTCCTGGCTTATGTCTTGTACTCTCAGTAATTACTTTGAAGGTAACGATGCCCAATGTATTAACTATTGCTCTTCTCTTATGATTTTGTTATGAAGTTTCACATTTTTTTTATAGAATAAAAAAGTAAAAAAAAAGTAAAGGAAGTATAATGAAATTAAGAGAAAGGTTTGGTGTAGGTCGATATTTAAACTATGCATTAAAAGAGAAATTGAAGGGGTTAGTAGAAATGACTGAACTGGGAAGGAGGAAGGTCATGCTCATAACTTGGAAGTTGTTTTGTGTTTTCTAGAAACTTCCTGAGTTGGAAAACCCAGTACAATTTTTCATTGTGATATTAAAGTATAATTAAGAAGTTACTTTTAAAACACATATTAGACTATAGTGAATGGATCATTTATTTCTGATATTTAAAACAAACTATTGCAGTATTAATTATATTTTTTACCATTTTGGATGTGTTATAATGCATTCATGCACACTTTAAAAATATATATATATATACATAAAAGACTAAAGTAGAAAAATATTACTTTCCCTAAGTAAGGGTTAAGTAATTTACAGATAATAAAGAAATTTGTAAAAATAAAGTAATTTTCAGGTTAGGAATTTGCAGAAAATGAAATTTTCCCACTTTATGGGAGGTGGGTGAGTATTTCAGTAAGTTTAATACTGAACTACTCCATTCTTGCATTTTTGTGGCTCAGAGAAAGTGTTTTACTCCTTACCGTCTAATCAAACAAATATGGTTGAAGGTATGTATTCTAAGCTCAAAATGTTCAGAATACGCTTAGATTTTTCAAGACATTTTTGGTACAGTTGCTTTCTGATAGATAGAATACAGGATTATTAATTAATTCTTAAATAACAGAAAGTATGAGGAGCTAGTCACCCTCTAGGCTTTTAGCCTATCCTCTACTTCTTACTGAAGGAGCTGTAATGGCAATATTGCCATGTTCTTTGAAAAGTATTTATTGTGGTCTTTCCTAATTTTTAATTTAATATTATAACATGTTATTTTCAGAGGAGAAATCCAGAAAGGTTTAGAAGATTTAAAACGTGTGAGTCCGGTAGGAGAGACATATATCCACGAAGGACTAAAGCTAGTAAGTTATTTTTAAGTATGGAAGAAAATGGTTTCTAATTCTGTGGTGAAATATAATTCTTCAGCAGTGTTCAAAAATCCCATTACATTTTCATTTTTTTAAAGTTTTAAATGCTTTTAGTTATTCTGGGGATGAGACTAGTAGAAAACATTATTCACAGTGGTGATAAGAAAAGTTTGGGTGAATTTTGTCCTTGAGTTTCTCATCTTCCCCTGTGATTATGTTCCTATAAGTCCTCACCATAACCTTATACCATTTAAACCTAATAACAACTACTCTATAATTTGAATACATACATACTTCACATAAAATGGTTAGCAGAAAAACCACCGTTTTAAAAGCTAGTCAGTAATATTTTCATTTTGTCAGACTTAAAATTCAGCTTGATGGAACATGCTGGTTAAAAGTTAAAATTAAATTGTGAGTTGGATAATTATTCTTCATTTTCAGGCAAATGAACAAATTCAGAAAGCAGGAGGCTCAAAAACCTCCAGTATCATAATTGCTCTGACAGATGGTAAGTTGGACGGTCTGGTGCCATCATATGCAGAGAAAGAGGTGAGTGCTGAATGGAAACTTCTTTATACCATGCTACTGCACTTTGCTGTGTCTCTCAGCCTGTGGAGCTTGACATTTAAATAATCTCTCCTCTCGCCCTCCCCCTCCCCCCTC